TTTTGTCGCGGTCTGTATTAGCATTCCTCTGGCAGATCGAGATCGCCTAAGGCGACGATCTCTTGTTCTGACGCAATCGTCCTGATAGTGTTCGACACCGACGTGACACCAGCGTCTGAATATAGAGGGATAAGCAGCTCGCGGCTCTAGGATTTCACGGATTTTGGGCAACTTCGCCGGTCGACAACCGGTTCTCACTTCGATCGATGATTTTCAATTAACGGTGGAACGGCGCCGATGACGTAACGCTTAGCGCCGCTCTCTTAATCCTCTTACGGCGATCGCTGGTCATTCTGGTAACAGGATCAAAGAAAACTGTCTAATCTCGCTTATTTCCTTGAACAACATTCTAGCCTGCCCTAAGAAATTTCTCCAAATTTAATCGGAACATTGATTTTTCACAGAATTGTAGCAGTTCTTTTAACTCCCTTTCATCTCAAGAATTCACTTTGTCAGAAGGATTTGAACAGATCAATACATCCTCGAAATACATTGACATTTCTTATTATGCACAGAGGACGTTAAGGGTATGTCTTATCTAAATGTCTGTAATCTTCTTATCTTCGTCTCCAATTATAATTCATCGGATTCTTTTTTATATCGCAATATCAGTTGCCAATCGGTCTGGAGTACATACTTCGTCGTTGCCAGAATGGAATTTCCTCCTTTGAATCCAGCATAGGGTACGCAAATTAGCATTGAGATCCTAATCAATCGTCGTGCGACTGTTCTCAGTGTAGAACAGTTATCGGAGCTCCGATTCCTGAGTTAACACTGGATTTACGGAGCCCGTCAATTTGACGGACATTGAATCGTTTAAACATCATTCTATATCCTCAAACTCTAATTTCCACAAACTACATGAATAAACATGTACTCTTCTAGAAACGATAAAGTGTACAATAATCTTAACATATTTAGAACTTCGTCAGGAAATTTACAGAGACCGTTTACATTTGTTTTCTGCCACTTGTACTGACTTTTGTCCGTACGTCTCATAGTTTCATTTATAATATCACTGTGTATTATTATCTAGTTCTTAACATATTGTAGATATGTGATTGTTAGATGTGATACAAAATCGAATTCCTCATTCTTTTTCGTAAGTCTCAAACGTTGGTTTGATTGACGTTCAAAAATAGATCAATATAATCAGCTCGCGTTTCCAGCTGAAATTTAGCCGGCATAATATGTTATGTTTCTCCAAGAAAACGTATGACTTCCTTAGGTGAAATTGACTCTAGAGATAGGTACATACATAAGAAATTCCCGTAAATCTAGTGTCAACTCTCCCGTGTCCGTCAATCATCTCCGACTCACGTTGCCGCGAAGGAAACGACGGATCGTCTGGCCGCGGTGTGTTCGGCCCGAATGAAAATCGATTCTGGAGAGCGTAGATTATTCGGATCTCGTTACCGGCGGGCATTAGATTAGATTCCAGGAACAAAGCGCTCGAGCCAGTAGTAATCGAATAACTCTACACCATTAACCTTGTTTATAGACGGGACTCCCGTAGTATCCTGGATTGTATGACTGCGTATACGGCTCACGTTACGAGCGGTCAAGGTGATTGACACTACGCAACGTTTGTTTTGGCCCGATCGCTGATACACACTTCCCGCAATAGGCAGTCGACGCGTTCCCCGCGAAGCGTGCCTTCTCCATCCGACCAGGGAATCTTTAAATACGAGCGAGCTTCTATTTTTCAATCGCTATCTACAGGGTAAACGGCGTGTGACTCACCGTTCAAGAAAGATTCGAAAAGGAACATTAATCGTTCGACTTCCAATCGGGTGATCCTCTTTTTCGAATCTTCCGATGGTGACTCGTACACCGTGCGTCCTATATATAGCAATTGCAGACCGGAGCCTTATATCTCTCGCGTAGACCAGTGTTTTCAATGAACAGTTAGGTAGATGTGTGATCATAATGAATATTCGAGGTAATCCTCGGAGTCACTTATGGAAATTCGAACTGTCGTATCTTGGAATAGATTACGATAAACGTGTCGATTTTAAACGACGTTGTAATAACAGAAGTCAGAGTTTAGGAGTGGATTGGATGTTCTTCGAGCTTCGTGATAGTTGAATCGTTGAAATAGTTGAAATTGATAAGATTAATGTAATTGCTTGAAATGAATGCAAGTCATATTCAGAGGCTATAAAAGGATTTTTTGACATAGAAGAAACGAGTAGATCTTTGAACAACTACAAAGTATATTATATATTTCTTTAAAATTGACAGAAATCAGAAATTATCAAAAAATCGGCTTCTGAGCGACTCCATTCCTCCGCAACTGCAGAAATAGTTTCGTTTCGTTCGTGATTGTACGTAGAATGTGCGCGTTCCTCGAAATAAAATTCGGGGCGCTCCCAAAAAATTCCGATCGATCGCCAAAGGAAATCGGGAGTTCGATCGGCGTGTTCTAATCGCGATTCGATCTCGTCGAACAGAAACAGCCGCCCACGCGAACGACCTACTACCGCCGGTCTCGCCCACGTCTGCTCATGTATAATTAATTAAATCTCGAATCGCAGTATTTTTCTCGGTTTTTCTGCCGCCGGTGACGAGATAATTCACCCGGCCGGCGTTGTAATTGAATCAAAACCGACACAGCTTATCGGTGCGTGTCTCCCGCGCCGACAGAATCGGGGATCACGGGAAACGATGATTTCTCCTTCGCCCCGGCGACAGTTAATAAACATCGCGATCGATTTCCGAGGCCGATCAATCATACGCGAACACGCCTTCTTAATCGTTCCTTTACATAACTGCCCATTTAGGAACGAAATTAACTTCCTTCTGCGCCGATGCGCCGGTGATAATCAGCGCACCAAGCCCCGATCGAAAAAATATCTACAGGACGCCCTAGAACCGGGCGATCGATCTTTTGCGAGGTTGTTCTACTGATCCTGAGGATGAGACAGATGTTAAGATTCTGATGATCTTGCTTATGAGATAATTTACTGGCGCTTCTAAACGCTTTTCCCTGATTTTGTTTTACGAAAAGAGGAGATTTGAATACGATTTCGATCGTATCGTTGAGATTAAGGAACGAGAGGGAATGAAAGTATCTTGCTATTTCTACAGTTGAACGTTTAAAAATAGAGAAGGATGTAAATTATAAAATTTGTTTTGAGATTGGGTAATTAATATTATTCGTTACTTGTAATGAGGAGATATTGATTTGATCGACTTGCGAAACTTATGTAGATTTTTGATATACAGCGGTGGAAAGGATGGTGTAGATGAAGAGAGCGTAGAATTATTTTCCCTTGTGGCATACAGAAAGAGATCCCAATGTCTGGTCATTTGTTTGAGTAATTATTTGGGTGCATATTGTGTTCACGACGCGTGACATGGTTTTATAATTCGTCTTTAATCGATGTTACCTTGTGAAACGTTTATTGTACACGTCTGCCTTGATTCCATGGCGACCAGTTGCATCGAAGGGACCGATGTAAACGCTTGCCCTCTCCGAAAGCATGCTCTGTTTGATACGATTTGCATTGTTTCTGCGTTGTTTTGCATGATCGCAGACCAGATGGAACATCTCTGGGAAACGCATGGCCGTCGATTAAGCGAGGCTGGCTTGCGCAGAGGATCAGGTAGGTGCTTCGTCGACTATTCTACTATTCTCTAACGCGAAACGATGCGAAATGTTCGGGCAATAATTAAAAATATACACGATTCTCGGGAGAATTAGATTAATTCATAATTTCAGAAAGATTTGCGATGAAATCCGATGAATGTCGCTTTTCTTAGATTCTTCGTTGTCGCAAACGTGCAATTAATGTTCATATAAATATATTTCTTCTCAATTAGACGAACATTTCCGCGTCGTTCCGTAAGAATGATAAATGCAACCGTGAATCGTCTTGTGTAGTTAGTAGCAGAAGAAATTGTCAAGCTTGTTCAATGTGTTCGTCTTATCGTGAACGTGTCTGATTGTGAGAATGCATTGGCTTCGATAAAGAAACACTATTGTCGCATGATTGCAATGAGTATTAATTTATTTCAATAGTATTCGACCAGGAAGATATTTACGGAGAAATGCCGAGAAGACTTTTAATCAGACAAAAGCATTCTAGTATCAAGTCCATCGGCGAAATTCACGAAACCGACGTCATAGAATATCCTTCGAAAGCAGCGGAACATTTAAAAAGTAATTTTTGGTCTCCTTCGTTTACCTGTATCAGTGACAATTCGTCGCTGACTATGAACTTCGCGTTAAAGACCCGCTCCGCCATTTTGGAACTCCGTGCGCGGCGAGATCGCCTCGCCACGCGTTGAAATCACCGAGTATTCGGAATCGCGCAACTGTTGTACGTTCGTTAATAGAAATCGTTTGTTGTCCTTGATACAGGCACAAATATTTTTATACAGAATCTAATTTCTATCCGATCAAAACGATACAGTAATTTCCTAAGAAAAAATACGGTACGAAATTCAATGAAACTTAGCAGAGTTTTCGATTATTTTTCATTCGTTTCTACTATTATTATAGAAAATATATTTCTACCAATAAGTCGCGCAAAGCAATTACATTCTATAAAATTTACATTGATCTATAAAAATTCACTAAGGATTCAAATAAGAACCGATTGGATCGGCCACCATCAGACATACCTAATCATAATAAAGGAATCCAAGTTAATCCCGAGTTCATCAAACAAATTTGTTGTCGGACAGATACTAGTGTCGTCCTGACAGAGGACACCGACAGCTTTATAATAGGAGATCGAGTATGGGTCGGCGGTACGAAACCTGGCGCGATCGCTTACATCGGGGAGACCCAGTTTGCACCGGGAGATTGGGCTGGAGTGGTCCTCGATGAACCTATCGGTAAGACTCATTCCCTATCGAACAACCCTTGACCTGTCAATCGGATAATTTTCAATGATACGTTAACACGTTAAGCGCCACGATAATCTCGACCGTTTTTCTTTTTCCGAGTTATCTTTGCCTCCCCGGTTAACGGGTCAACGCGTTAGCTGCGAGATCAGCGTTTATCGGAAGTTTACGAAGACTCTTAAGCCTTTACGGACGAATGTCGATATTTATCGAGATCAAGCTTTCACGTTTGTAATACTGAGTTGCAAACAAAAACATAGTTCCCTTATTCTCTATTATTTAACATTAGAACTTGTGGATCAGAATGATCTATTCTGCAGTTCTTCTTTCATAACTTCAATAATTACTGATCTAGTAATACCTAAACTAAAATATAAGCCCATAGAAATCTTAATAACACCTTAATAGCTTCAACAAAGGAACTTTCAAAAGACGGTTGAATGTTCGGTGGTTCCAGTGTTAAGCATTCAATGTATTATTCATTTCGAGAATGTTATATAAAGTTTGTGATAAACTTCAGGAAAGAACGACGGATCGGTAGCAGGCTGCCGTTACTTCCAGTGCGAGCCGAAACGCGGGATATTCTCCCGCCTGACCAGATTGACGAGGGAGCCGTTGAGCGACGCTGGCATCACGTCGCCGACGCAGAGGACGCCGACGACGCCGCCGGACAGCATGAAAACCAGCCTCGGCAGAGCCATGTGTCCCTCGTTAAGTAAGGATCGGTGCAAGAGATACTCTCCCCGTCCGTAGTCCGCTTGAATCTCGAAAGCTGCGAACCCGGCGAACGCCGGAAGATGAAGGTTCCCCTCCCAGCGGATCCCGTGGATTTTGCAGTCTCGCCTACACCATTAAACGATGTTCACTTCGTAGCGAGCTGCAAAATCCGACGGGTCCCGGCTTTCCAGGGGTCACCGTCCCGGCACCGTTGATCGCCTAATCGCACGCTACAGTAGAGCAGCTCGGGCCACACTGTACGCACGCTCATTAGAATGATTGTAAAACGTAGACCTAACATGTAGCAAGCTGTACCTCTTAGTCTATACGCACGCTCTTAGCCAAGTAGAAACCTCTGTTGCGTCCTTAGATGTTTATCTATGTAGTCGAACCGCTCACACTGTGTTCTTCTTTTTACTTAGTAAATAAATCGGATCCGCACCGATTCCTCACCTCTTTGCGCGACAAATAAAAATCGTAGAAACCTAGAGTGTACCGAGTAGATGTTAGCGACTTTGCGCAACGTTGATTTCACGTCTCTCGCACGTACTCGGGTCTGAAGATGCTGGTCGTTCAAGGTCACCATGCAGTCACCCCCCACTGTACTGTCTGCTCCTTTGCCCCGACCATCGCAGCGACTCTCATCTCGTCCCCCCGTTTGTTGTGCGTTCAGAAAGTTGTGGAGCAGGTGGGAATGAGGCCTCGGCGACGGAATGTGTCATGGTTGAACCTCCGCGAGGTGACCTTGAACGTCCAACATTCCTCGACCAGAGTATAGGGGAATACAGACGCCTGTAATGCATGTAACTCGTCACACAGACGCGTCCACGACGAGCCTGGCGTCCACGATGTCGCAGAGAGACGTCAGGATAGGAGAGCGAGTAATAGTGTCGTCCAGCCAAGGCAGCAAGACCGGCGTCCTGAAGTATGTGGGTGCCACAGAGTTCGCGCCAGGCGAATGGTGTGGCGTGGAGCTTGACGAGCCGGTTGGAAAGAACGACGGCTCCGTTGGTGATAAGAGGTCTGCATCGACTCTGGAAAATATAGTATAGCACGTGTTCGAATTCGATAGACATTGTCAATGAGACTCGTAGGATGTAGATTTGACCTCCTTTGATTCTACGACGTTAATTGAAGCAACTTGTTTGGATAGATGTATACTATGATCATTCGTTGTAGACTTGAGATGCTCCATTAGAGAATTCTTTGACCAATTAAGCAATGAATTATAGTAATACTATTGTGAATCGGATAAGCGTTGTTTCACCTGTAAGATCATAGCGTGATAGTGTAGCTGTTAATGTTTATTAGACCTTCCTCTGGTGCGACTGCTAACTGGTTTAGCATTGTTTCAGGTACTTTGAGTGTAGGCCTAAATATGGCTTGTTCGCACCCGCGCACAAGGTCAGCCGGTCACCAACCAGCAAAAGGACCAGCTGCATCGTGCATAGACCAACCGGCGCCGCCCTGAACTCGTCTTTGAAGAAGACCGGCTCGAGGGAGTCGCTCGTTTCATTGTCAAGCATCGCCAGCACGGCGAGCACAGCTGCCAGGGCTGGTGTCAGTACAGCGAGGGTAAGATTCACGGTGCCAGAATGAGGGAATGGCCTGTACCGCAGCTTGCATCTTCCGTCCTGAGTGCAGACTACTGACTATTTCTACAGTTAAATATGTTCTGCTCGCAGCAATTGGAGGATCACGTTTCTGGACGATCGGAGAAAACATCCTACCGTCTAGGATGAATGTCAATACTGTTAATGTTGAAGTCAATGTAGCGAACATTTGTAAAGTTCACGTTTGTGGATGTTTTCTGTATAAATATCTGCAATTCGCCATGCATCTAGCTTTCTTTACTCAGGGTAGCTATCGTTGGAACAACTGATCCTCTAGTTGCTTCGCATAGCGATACATTCAACTGTGCAAACACGTTTCTACTGACTTGAGCGTGCAAGCTCGCAACTATTTCATCAAGTTCTGTTTGAAACGTGTTTGCGAATGAATATGAAAACTTTTGTTAGCTTGCTATTCACGTTGATTAGATTTATAGTGTTGTTGTTAAACTTAATGTGTATGTATATGTTTCAGTTGTTTTTGTTTTTGTTGCTGTAGGCGCTCTGTTCTGTTGAACAGTTTCATAGAGTGATAGATACTCGAGCTTAGCTGATCAAAATTTCGTTCAAAGTCTGTACAATTACTCGGTGTTTTCCTCGAGTTTTGAACAGTCGAGTTTAGTCTTGTGATGTTAACATCTTTTTTTGTGGTACACCCCGAGAATTGTCTGTTTAACAGTATTGTATTGTTAGTACTTAGAGTTTACCAGATCATTATATTTTTTATTTCACAAGTGTATTTATTTAGCCGAGATGTAAGTAGACAAAGGCAAAAGGAGTTGCAGCTTGATTATTTGGCTGTGCATGATACGATTTTTTTTTGTTGCATCACAATTCCAGAGGCCTGGTTTGCGCATGGCAACACCTGCACGAATTACCCTGCAGGTGAGACCTTGTTCTAACACTTATTTGCCATCTTCAGTTAGGATTGTGACACCCAAAGCGTTCTTTATGTAGTTGTTAGAATAGACGGTAGATTAACAAACGTGTTGTGATGATTTGTTGTTGAATATTAAGCATAATATTTACAATACAACAGCCAACTGTTATACGGTTTATATAATTAGCAAATACATTGATATGTAATTGTTAGTTTTGTTTTAGATAAGTAGCTTAGAAAAGCATTTTGATGTTTGTACATGATTTTAATAAAATCCTCTGTCCATCCTTCACTCTCTCCCTATAATCCAGCTCCCATTGGTGTGAGCATCTACTTTAAAACATCATTTTTTTTATAGCTGGCTAAATAATTACAGTCAACCTCATAAAGTAAAACTTTTCTTTGTTGTTAAGATAAATAAGTAGTCACTTCATTTTATTAAATGTCATCAAACGTGTACTACAGTGAACTCTTAAGTTTGATCATTTGCTTTGTATCTTTGTAGACCTTGAATTGAACACAATGTTGCTTTATCTATTCAGCAATATTTATGCAAATTGAAATTTCCCCGTCGCGTTGACTTCTTTTGACATTTGTATCGATTAAAAACCAGTTTCTAACAACGCAAAAAGTTCAAGAATAACAAGCGTGAGTAAGCTGAGAATAATGCATAAGACTATGTAGATGCACAATTTGATAAGAGGACACGTTAAAGACAATGTTGACGTTCTGTTAACGTTTCACTATCCAATCGAAGCAATTTCAAATGTACAATTTCGAAATATAACGATGTAATGAAAGTAACACCATAATCGATATTGATTCTTTCAGTAAGTGCATCTCCTGCTCTTCCAAATCCCATATTAAAAAATTCTGACATGAAAACGTCTCGTAGGAATTAGGATATAAGAGACATAGTGTATTTTAGAATTCCTTAGAAACAGAATTAGTTAACTGCACGATAACACGTAATCATTCTTACATTCATCTGCAACATTCTAGGAATCTTTGAAGGAGAAGCAACAAGAGATAGAGATGTTACGTAGAGAAAGAGATGCGGAACGCGAACGTGTTACAAAAGCGGCAAATCAAGCGGATCAAGCGGAACAATCTATCCTTTCGATAAAACAAGAATATGAACAGGTAGCTGTCGCTTCCTCTCGTGTATCATTCATTTAACGGCATGATTAAAGCTGCGTTACATTAATTTTAGTACCGAGAGAAAATGCAAAAGACAGTTACAGAAGCAGAAGCTGGTTTCCTAAAGTTACTCGAGGAGAAGAACGCACTGGCGCTCCAATTAGAGGAAGAGAAACGAAAATGTGAAGACCTATTGTTTCGCTTTGAAGAAGAGTCCGTCAATAAGGACGATATTCAGGTATAGGTTCTGATTATATCATTTCTTCCAGATATAGCAGCATAGATTATGATGATGCAGTTTAACACACTGATCGCCAAATTAATATGCGCTTGAACTTCTATGAGAGTACCACTTTTAAGAAAGAAATTCATTTTATTCGCAATGGTCAATGTGTTAAAACGGTCAATGCATAATGAAACGAGAGGTAAGTATTAACATCTGTAAGAAAGACGAACAGATATTAAGGGACTCTTTAATGTTTACAAAGTATTAAACGAAGCATTTTCATTTTCCTTATGGTTATACTTTCTTTAATCGGATTTACGTTTCCTAGTTTTCTTTTGAATATCCGTGTAACGATTGCTTAGCGAAGCTATAAGGAAACGCAAGTATTACTCGAAATTAAAGACTAAATTAGTACGCTTTCGTTAGAATAGAATTTGAAGCTTCCCCATAATAAAGTGGTGACGGGTGGGTTTTCTGTAAAGGGTTTCCGTGAAAC